ATGGCTAAGGGAATCCCGGATGGTGTGGATTCCACCCTGATCTCATGGGTGTTTCCAAGGGAGCCCCTATGGGGCTCCACTCCTCTCCCTAACGAGTCAGTAGGCCACCTTGTAGAAAGTCCTAAGAGTAACAGAGCCCACAGGGCTCAACTCTTCTAAGGCACCAGTGCTGATATAGAAGATTAGGGCCTAGTAAAGCTGGGTGGGGAAGTAGGCATGACCTAATTACAAGATCTCAGAACACACTCGAAGAACAGTACCTAAAGCCCTGCACCTGGACTTCTCACAAGAATTTGAGCAGGGTTTTCAATAGGATGGCCTAGACCTGACGTCAGCCTGAGGTATGGGATCCCAGCACCACCTCTCAGGACCTGTATGTAGTTCTCACAGGTTTCCTTGAGATGTGGACAGTATAAAAGGATACAATGTCAGGAAGAGTTTGCTATTGTGGCTTTCCTCATGATAGCTAACCCACTCTGCTTTCTTCAGGGTATTCTTTTATCTTGCTTTTTCCTCTTTTTTTTTTTTTCTCCCTCACTCTTCATTTTTACTTTTGCAAATAAACTTTACCACTGCTTTTTGCTCGTTTTGTTCAATTCAAGATGAAAACCTGGACTATAACTCCAGAAGGCGAGCAACCCAGAACCCAGTAATGTTTGATTGGTGAGCCACATTTTGAGGAGCTACCTGATAACATTCTGGCATAGCCAGGAGATTCCACTAACAGTGCCACCCTAGCTTTAAGCACAGACATCTGCTTAGTTGTACTTCAGTCTCACAAGGGACACTCTGAGAACTCAATGGGTCTCCACCTTCTGCACAGGATGCCATTTTAAGGACCCCAGACCTAGTTTTCTCTCTCCATAGGCCCCATGACAGACCATGAGAAATATCCTGCAGGTATCAGCCATCTTGCCATTGGGTTGTATCCTTAAAAAATTGAGAGGATGGGTACAGAAAGGCAGTCTAAATTCTGCAGAAGACAAGGTGGTGTGAAATTCTTTGTTTAGGTTTTTGTGGCTCTTTACCTCTAAAGCCCCAAGAACCATGCTACTTTAAGAAGCTCTTATGGCTTACAGCTAGATGTCCCCTACTCATGGGGTCATAAATGGGGCTTTTCAAAAATGGCTAGGGCTGGGGATTTAGCTCAGTGGTTCTGCCGCCTGCCTCGAAAGCACAAGGTCCCAAGTTCGATCCCCGGTACCAAAACTAAAAATAAAAAAGTGGCTGGATTTGGGTGTGTGAATGTGGATTAAGGGTATATGAATATGAATTATAGTGTGATAACTAAATAAGTCCACTAACTGGTTTAGCATAGTTGTGGGTGTGAATAATGGAAAGGCCCACCCTGGGTACAGGTGGCACCATCCAAAAGGCTTGTAGCCTAGATAAGATAAAAGGGAAAGGGAGGATTGCTGCTGCTTCTGCTACTTACTGCTTTGCTGCCTTCTGCCTGCCATGCAATGAGACATTTCTCCTCTGTGATGTCTCTGCCATGCCACCCCCTGCCTTGGAATCAGCTGACTATAGACTGAAACCTCTACAAACTGTGAGCTGAAATAAACCTTTCCTCCTTAAACTTTGGGTGTCAGGTATTTTGTCTCAGCAATAAGAAAAATAAGATAGAGGCCTCCAAGGGAAAAAATAATTGATAGCATTAATGATCCTGTCCTCAGACAGATATGAGTCTCTCCCACCTCTTTCCATCAGAGGCTATCACCCCAGTGAAACCCAGTATTTTGTATTTTCAAAAAATTCAGGTTGGGGGCCGGGATTTAGCTCAGTGGTTTTGCTGCCTACTGCGCAAACGCAAGGACCAGAGTTCAATCCTTGGTACCAAAACAAAAAAAAATTCTGGTAGGTTTGCAGATGGACCCCCTAGAACCCTATGACCCAATGGTTGGACACTGGCTTTTCCATGTTCAACAACCAGGATTTAGATAAGCTCAAAAGGAGAAAGGGTTGAAAAAAAAAAAAAGACAAACCAAAATTATGGCTGTCACAACTAGCGGTACTTTAAGCATACCTGAGTCATCCAAGGGAAAACTCAGGGCCAATCAAGGCCTGCAAGAAAACTGGACACATAACTGTACCAGGCCCTGCTCCATGTATCAGGCAGGCAGCTGCTATGCTTGACTCATGGAATTGGGAGGATAAAACCATCACCTCCTGCTCTGATAAAGAGGACTGACGTGGCCTGAGTCAATCTGCAATGCCCCTGTCCCTAGACATCTTCATTTCCTGTGAGGAACCTCGAGTGGGGTAAGTAAATTTAACTGCCCTGTTTTAGTATCCTTTTCTAGAAAACCCTCCTCTAGATCTACAGCCATAATTGGTGTCAAGGAAAATCTTAGTAAGAGCTTTTAAACTCCTGCTCTGACACATCAACCATGAATTTATTGTTCCATAGTGTCCTACTCCCTTTCTAGGACTAGTAAAATTTGGGCCAATTCTCCAGTTCCAGAAAAGGCAAAAGTAGATTATGCCTGTTGAAACTATGCCCAGCAATACTTCTAGATATTCCTGAGGTTACCATAAACACCTGCACTATTCTTTTTTTTTTTTGATATCAGGGATCAAATTCAGGACCCTGAATTTGCCCGGCAGGTATAGCACCACTGAGCTACTTCCCCGGCCCTCCTACACTATTGTGTTTTTTTTTTTTTTGGTACCAGAGATTGAACTTGGGACCTTGTGCTTGCAAGGCAGGCACCAGAACCACTGAGCTTAAATCCCTGGCCCCCTCCTACATTATTCTTAATCCTGCCTCACTGATACCTGTAGGCTCAGAGATTATCCACTCTTGTGAACAGGTCATTTTCCAGACCTACTGGAAGCAGGCAGGACATGAGTGATGTCCCTCCCAGACCCTGAGAAGGTGCGGTCCACTGATGGAAGTAGTTTTGTCCAAGAAGGACATCAAAAGGCAAGTTATGCATTGTCAGTTCACAACAGGCCACTGAGGCCAAACCCCTTCCTACAGGAACCTCTGCTTTAAAAACAAAGCTCATAGGCCTTACTAGGGCACTGATATTAAGCTACATGCCCATGTAGCAATCTGAAAAGAATGGGGCTTGCTGACTAATAAAGCACCATCTATAAAACCCAAGTAGGAAATTCTACAACTCCTTAAGGCAGTCTACCTTCCCAAGCAAGTTGCTGTCATTCGTTGCAAGGAACCCCAAAGAGACATGTCTAAAGTCTGGTTGGGAAATCAAAAGACTGGTAGAGAGGCAAAAAGGGCAGCCTTGTAGCCCCTCAAGACTCGAGTCTTTACTCCTAGTTCCTGAGGAACCATTAAGCTGGTCTTTCCTCAAGGGACACAGTGGAAAGCCATTAAAATGCTAATTTTCACAGGCTACTCCTATGAACCTCTGGAAGACCTAAGGCTCTTCTTCAAAAATCAAGACCCCAGTTCTGCTTGGAGGATAGATTAAGTAGAGTCACTATAAAGGTGTACCGGTAGCCCATCTAATAATCCTTTTTTCCCTCCACAGGAAATGTGGAAATCTGATCTGTTCCCTCTTATATTTAGGTTCTGCACATGCAACCTAATAGTAAAGTTACTCTTCAAATTCACCAAGTTTTTTCCCACTGAACAGGCAGCTCAACAGTTCTTCATATATAGATACTAATTCTTTTCTCATGGCTTCTGACAGGTTTTCTTTTCAACCCAGCTGGTGAGCCACAACATCCTAAGGTAGTTGAGAGAATGTAATCCCCAGTACATAGGCCATACAACCCCTTTCAGCAGGAAGTACCTATATGAAAACAGAGACCTCCATACCTTCAGCACTTCATAAACAATTAAAGAGAATTTACATCTTTCAGGGGTAAATGAGGGAGGAAATTGGGACATGACAAACTGACTGGGCCAGTGGGTGTGACCTGCAATCACTGAGGTCCAGGACACATGTGCAGAACAGGTCCCAAAGCCCTGCACCTGGGACCAATCAGAAAATACTATCTTTAGTTCTTCTCACAAGAACTCAAGTTTTTGATAGCACAACCTAGAACTGATGTCAGTCTGGGGAGTGAGAGATATAAAACACGACCATAATTAACCTTATGGCCACTGTTTTCTTTTTCAAAGTGGTCTGCTCTCACCCTGCCCAGTGTACTTCTTTTCCTACTTTTAACTGGCCCACATTTGCTCTGCAGAGGATGCTTCTTTTACTACCTTTAACAAACTACAAAACTTCACACAGAAAAAAAGAATTCAACATGCTTGCAGTATTTGTATACAACAAATTAATCCTGCTTAACAAAGTACTTTTGTTTACAGTGGTGACATCACCCTGTGTCCCAATTGCTAAGAGCACCTTGAAACAAAAACAAAAATCTTTATAATTTCCAAAGGTAAATTCTAGACAAGATATGAGCAGGTACAATTTTATTTACATGATTTACTTTACCACTAATTCCATCTTGGACCACCTTAAGTCTATTTTCAAGCACAAACTCCTTTCATATCCAACAATGGGGTGGCTAGCTGAACTTCTGATTCATTCTTACGTCCTTTATTGAAAGTGCTGTCCTTAAAAATACCTGACACCCTTTCCTGTTTGCTCCTCCTTTGGATGATATCCAAAAAACCCTATAATAAATCTTGCTCCACAGACCCTCTTCAATGCAAATCAGTTTCTACAAACTATTACTCTGCTGGCTCAAAGCAAAATTCCTACAATTTTCTTTAACTGAAACTAAAATGGTAAAACTTAAGAAAAATAACCTAATTTTTTTTCTTTTTTTGTTTTTGAGACAGGATCTCGCTTTGTAGTTCAGGCGAGCTTTGAACTCACTATGTAGCCCAGGCTGGCCTTGAACTTGTGACAATCCTCCTGCCTCAGCCTCTTTGAGAGCTATGATTATAGGCATGTGCCACCATGCCTGGCCCAAATTTTTAATTATTACCAGCAATCTAGACTACAATGCCAAAACATTTATTTCGGGTTTTTGTTAAGTTTTTACATGTCAATATATGACCTAGCCATACTCACCTTGGTTCAGGTAAGTGAGTGTCTCGTCGTGCAGTTTGACTGCTGGTGATGTTGCAGCACACATCACATACTGAAAGGGAGGGTTTTTTGTTTCACCATCCAATGGAAGGTTGGAATCTTCCTGCTTGAAAATGGGCAATGCCAACACATCACTGAAAAGCAAAACACCAAAACTGACCTTACTCTGGGTTTAAAATATTTAAACGCATATAACCATTTAGGGGTAGTTCTTTTAAAATTTAAAATCAGAAAGGATATGCAAATTAAAAGAAACATTAAAGCTAATATGGATCACTTAAAAGACAGTATTTTTTACAATTTATATATTAATTGGTACATTTTAGGTATACAATACGTTTACATTTATCATTGGGTGTTTGTACCTGAACATGATGTATCTTAGTTCTTATTTTTTCCCCCATTACTTATGCGCCCTTCACCCCCACCACCCTTCCCTATTTACATAGACCTTGTTTCCTTTTTTGTTTTTTAAAGACAGTATTAATAATCATTTCTAATGTGGGCACAGGATTAGGATTAGGAGGATAAAATAAGTAGTTGTTGGGGCTGAGGGTATAATTCAGTGGCACAATGTCTGCCTAGCACGCTCAAAGCCCTGGGTTCAATCCCTAGAACAGGAAGAAAAAAAAAAAAGTACCAATGGTTAATAAAGCATATGCTATTGATAAGAATAATATATAAGGTAGCATTAAAAAATTATTTTAGGGTTAAACATGGGTTAGACCCAGCTACTTGAAAGACTGAGGCAGGAGGACTACAAATATGAAGCAACCTGAACAATTCAGCAAAATTCTGACTCAAAATTAAAAAGGTTTGCAATATAGCTCAGTGGTTAAGGGCATTTGCTTAGCATGCTCTATGTTCAATCCTCAATGTCACTAAATAAATAACTTTTTAAAATTATTTTTAAATGGTAGGCTCTAAGCCAAGCAGCATGGTGCAGTCCTGTAATCCCAGCAATTTGGGAAGCTGAGGCAGGAGGATCCTAAATTTAAACCTAGACTGGACAACTTAGTGAGACCCCATTTTAAAATAAAAATTTAAAAAGGGCTATGGCTATAACTCAGTGAGAAGGCCCAGGGCTTACTCCCTAGAAAAAGAAAAAAAAAAAACCCACTAGATTATTTCTATTAACAGCAGTAGCAGCAATTAAAAAATGCCTAGCTACTATTTTGAAAGACAGGTACTATTACTGGCACCAAAAGTAGGCCACATTGGCACCATGGAATTATAAAGAATTAGCTGGTTAAAATGATGCTTTATTAAAAATTCTCAGCTAGGGCTGGGGATTTAGCTCAGTGGTTTCGCTGCCTGCTGCACAAGCGCAAGGACCCAAGTTTGATTCCCAGTGCCAAAAAAAAAAAATAATAATCCCAGCTAATGCCGGGGATTTAGCTCAGTGGCACTGTGCCTGCCTCGAAAGCACGAGGTCCTGAGTTCGATCTCCGGTGGGCCCCCCCCCCAAAAAAAATAAATAAAATAAAATTGGGCCCGGGGATTTAGCACAGTGGTTTCACCGCCTGCCTTGCAAGCGCAAGGATCCGAGTTTGATCCCCGGTACCAAAAACTAACAATAATAAAATTAAAAATTCCCAGCTAGGCCTGGCTAGTGCTGAGAAAATAAAGCTTCATGTCCAGTCTAAAACAATGGCTTCTGAAAAGCAAGTAGCAGTACAAACAGCTGCTACTTTTTCTCCCAGGAATAATTTGCAGCACTGACTGGGAAGGAGACTCAGTGGACTTGTGGGGTTCTACTGGGTTCTGTTAACCTGGTGGTTAAACACATGGATGTATTTGGTCTGTTTTTGTTGCTGCTTAACAGCTTTATTGAGATATAACTAGCATGTCATCAAAGTCATCCTTTTAAAATGTATAATTTGAAGGTTATTAGTATATTCAGAATTATGCAACCATTACTAGTATCTAATTCCAGAACATTTCTCCCCTCATAAAGAAATTCTATATCCAGTAACAATCACTCACCATCCCTACTACCCCTACCTGCAGTCCTTGGCAAATGATCTGTCTCTATTGATCTGCCCATTCTAGATATTAATACAAAAGACATCATACAATGTGGCGAGGTAATAGGTGCAATAGGCCAGTTTCACATAACATGTTTTCAAGCTCCACCTATGTTACAGCATATGAGATTTTGTGCCTTCTTATGGCTTCATTCTATTGTACAGATGTACTATATTCTGTAGTGTTGATTACCTGATGAACATATGGGCTATTCCCTTTGTTTGGCTAATCTATGAACATATTTTCATATGTTTTTGTAGACATGATTTCAGTTTTCTTAGGTATATCCCTAGGAGTATAGCAGGTCATGTGACAAAAATTTTTCAAAGTGGGGGAAAGCATTTTACATTCTCACTTTAAATGTATGGGTGTTTGTTTTTAACATAATTCCTTGAGCTCTATATTTATTTCCTGCTGTTGTATGTTCATTCTTCAACAAAAAGTAAAATAATAGCAGTAACAACAAAAATATCTAAATGAATACTGTTATCAACTCCAGTAACAGCAACCTTTGGCTTTCTTTTGCTTATTTTTATTTTTGCCTTGCAAGCCTTTGACTCAGATATTTAGGTAGCCTACTTCAGCTGTTTGGTTTTTTTTTTTGGTACCGGGGATTGAACTCGGGACCTTGTGCTTTCGATGCAGGCGGCAGAACCACTGAGCTAAATCCCCGGCCCCTTCAGCTGTTTTTTGTTTCTTTTGTTTTTGTTATGTAGCCATGAGAACTCCTGCTTCACCCAGTACTGGGAATGCTGGGATTACAAATGTGGGCCAACTAGCCCCACCAACTGAATTGAAAAACAAAATGTGGAAACAAATAAAATGGAAGGGAAATTGTGAGAGAGAACATTATATTACCTGCATTTCTCTCCCCTCTATATTTCTGTTAAAAGCACTGCATTGATTCTTCAAAGAGACCAAATTAACTAATTCACCTCTTTTACTTGAATTGAAGAATCATCAAAACACACCAAAGTACAAAGCCAGGTATAGTGGCACCCACCTGTGATCTCAGTACTAGGAAGGCTGAGGCAGGAAGACTGCTGAGGCCAGCCTGGCTACATAGTGAGGTCAAGACCACCCTGAATTACAGAGTGAGACCCTGTCTCAAAAAACAAAACGAAACAAAACTCCTAACTACAGAAAAGAAAACCAAAGACAACACAGTTATCAATGGTCCTCAACTCTCCCATGTAAAATCATTAACTTGATTTTAAGCCACCTAGCTTCCTGATTTAGGAGGCAGATATAGAACAATTTTCAACTGGACATGGTAAATCCCATGTCTGTAAGTTCCAGCTACTCCAAAAGCTAAGGCAAGAGGATCACTCGTTCCAGGAAAGCCTGGGCAATTTAGCAAGACTCTGCCTCAAAATGAAAAGAGCTGGGAATGTAATCCAGTGCTTAGTATACATGAGGCTCTGAATTAAATCTCCAGCACCGTAAATTTTAAAATATGCATTTTTTTAAAATGGTACTTTTTGAATCAGATCAGCCCTGTTTATAAAAATCTTAACTGCTGGGCGTGGTGACGATGTCTGTGATTCCAGCAGTTGGGAGGCTGAGGCAAGAGGATCACTGTGAGTTCAAGGCCAGTCTGTACGACATAGTAAGACCCTGTCTCAAAAAACAATCTTATGGGGGCGCTGGGGATTTAGCTCAGTGGTTCCGCCGCCTGCCTTGCAAGCACAAGGTCCCGAGTTCAATCTCCAGTACCAAAAAACAAAAAAAACAAAACAAAACGAAATCTTATTAATCAAAATGGATCCAGAGTAGATGAATATAATTATTTTTATATTAGTATATTTTGTCATATATATGTAAGCATTTAAAGCTCTCTTGAGAAAGAAACTAATGAGTTGAGAGCTGAAAGTGAGACACATGAGTTAACTGTTGAAAAATGATACGGGAAACAATCTTCAAATCTCAATGCTAACTGCTTGAGGTGATCATTAAAATAAAGACCAAAAGACTCTATGAAGATGGTTATTTGTAAATAAACAGTCACACACAGGAAATTAAATTTCATGTGCTTCAGACCCTTTGTAACCTTTTTATTCAGTTGGCTATATCCTTGATCCAGAGGGGAAAAAGCATGCTCAGGGTCAGTACTAAATGATTCTTGAACAAATTTAATATATGAACACATAAAGATCAGATCATTTGCTATTAAAATTCCAATTACTTTTTACTTAATGAAAAAGAAAAGGGTCGGGGATTTAGCTCAGTGGTTTCCCCACTTGCTGCGCAAGCGCAAGGCCCCACTTCGATTCCCCAAAACCAAAAAAGAAAAGATTACAACCAACAAAGGAAATTTAGATTTAATTTCTCTGAATACTCCATCTGCTCACTTTCAACCAAGGTTCTTAAAAATCATAGGAGGCTCATCCCAATGTATTTCTCATCTCCCCCTCCTCTGCCAGCCCCAGCCACAACAGCTTCCACACAAGCCTCTCTCAGTGGCTCTGCACTGGCTCTACCAGGTATTCCAGCAACTTACTTCATTCAAATGTCACATTCTCAGTGAGGATACAACTCCACCTCTCCCACACACACTCCTAATTTCCCTTACCCTGCTTGAGCCACAGCTCTTTTCACTTTCCAACAATACACATGATTTATCTTTTAGCCCTATTAAGTTTATAACCATTTCCAAAATTTGTTTCTTCATTGACATTTAGCACAAAGCTGCTCAAATATTTGCTGAATCAATGAAGTAATTGCAGTATAATGATCAATTAATTCTTAAACTAAAAAACAGGGTCTCCAGACAATTTAAGATTTCACATTATACTGTCTTCAGACAGTCTAGGATTTCATATTTTGAGCTACGTGAAAATCTTAATTTTAACATTTTTTGGCAATGCCATAAATGGAAACAGACTTTTGAGAGTATTAGCGATTCTTAAATTTAACTGAAAAAGTATGACATTTCTTTTTTAAATTGACACAAGGGGAGGGGGCTCAAGGGGGAGAATGGGATAAAATTAATTTAAAAAAAGAAAAAGGTGAAAATAGAAGGTAAACTGACACATAAAATTATACATTTATGGGATACTATATGTAATGCTTCAAATAAGAACATTACTGAACAAAAAACTTACCA